CTTCTACTCCACTACAGTTCAGAGGTACATACTTTACTTCTACCCTCAGTTAAGTCAGGGAGACTGGTACATGGTGTACTTCTACTCCTCTACAGTCAGAGGTACATGGTGTACTTCTACTCCTCTACAGTTCAGAGGTACATGGTGTACTACTACTCCTCTACAGTTCAGAGGTACATGGTGTACTTCTACTCCTCTACAGTTCAGAGGTACATGGTGTACTTCTACTCACTACAGTTCAGAGGTACATGGTGTACTTCTACTCCACTACAGTTCAGAGGTACATGGTGTACTTCTACTCCACTACAGTTCAGAGGTACATGGTGTACTTCTACTCCACTACAGTTCAGAGGTACATGGTGTACTTCTACTCCACTACAGTTCAGAGGTACATGGTGTACTTCTACTCCTCTACAGTTCAGAGGTACATGGTGTACTTCTACTCCACTACAGTTCAGAGGTACATGGTGTACTTCTACTCCACTACAGTTCAGAGGTACATGGTGTACTTCTACTCTACAGTTCAGAGGTACATGGTGTACTTCTACTCCACTACAGTTCAGAGGTACATGGTGTACTTCTACTCCACTACAGTTCAGAGGTACATGGTGTACTTCTACTCCTCTACAGTTCAGAGGTACATGGTGTACTTCTACTCCACTACATGTATTTAATACCTTTAGTTACTTCACAGATGTGGATGAATGATGTGAAATCTAATCAAGTGTTAATCAGACTTTAGTTCCACCTGGAGTAAATCCACCAGCTACCCTGCAGTATACAAAGTCATTCAAACTAGCTGCACCTTTACCAGCTTTGAGAACACTTTCATGATCAATCATTATAAAACATATCATATATATTATTCTGAAATGGACCAATCTGCACAACGACTACTTTTACTGTCGCTACTTTAACTATATTTGGATGAGAATACTTTTATACTTTCACTTGAGGAATATTTTGAATGCAGGACTTTTACTGTGACAGAGTATTCCTACACTCTGGTACTTCTACTTTTGCTAAGTACAAGATCTGAGTACTTGTAATTTCACTACAAGATCTGAGTACTTATACTTTTACTCAAGTACAATACCTGAGTACTTATTCCACCTCTAGTAGCGTATTAGTCTGAATTGTAGCCACAAAATCACGCAGAGCTGCATAGAAATAGACTCACAATGGTAACAAGTGGAAAATAATATTTACAAATGTGAACAATGATTTGTAGGTAATGCTGACTACTCAAGACACCTGACTTATACATCTTCAAATGAAGACTGTGTTCATTCTACAATTACATGAGATTAAAGCAACATGTAGTTTTACTTGTATAATACTTCAATTTTATATAAAGACAGTTTGTTTTCATCTGTTTTCAAATAAACAAAGTCTTGGCTTTCAGAATATTAAACTTGTTTCTGCAAATTCAGATGATAAATACAACTTTGAAGCTTCGGCATAATTACAAGCGGAGAACTGAGTAACTTAACGTCACAGCAGGCGTAACAACAGCCGGTGTTTCTTGTGAGTGTTTCCCCGGGAAACAAACGCAAAAATACACAAACACACTCGCGAGCTTCCCCCAGACCAGTAATACAAACGAAAATGTGTCTTCGGGTCAATGTGACTGATTTCGATAGAGCAAGTCACATTTGGTTTAGGCACGAAACATACTACCAGTAGAAATACATTGCTTTCAAAATCGCTCTGTGTCGAATCAATAGATTATATTTCGTGACTATAACACGAAATGCCGTGAGTGCTTCATCCTCTGAACACCACACGATGGCGACTGTAACGCACATAACATAGGTACGCTCCTCTGAAATGATTCTCCCCTGCAATTATTATTATCCCTCAATCGAGTTTGCTAATCAGCTTGCTAACGTTAGCTTAAACAAACATAACATGCAACGTTAGCCTAATCTAAAATGCTTTACTACGGCGTACCTTTCATGTGGCTCGTCAGCGTAGACTCTCGCATCGTTATTTTTGCAAACTTTGCAGGAGGCTACTCGTGGGCTTGACCCTCGTCTTAGCCATGGCTTGTATTTGTCTTCTGCTAGCCAACGCTCGTTGAAACGGCAACCTCCTGGCACACAGTCATCGCTCACTCTCATCAGAATGCCCAGGTCGCACGTAACACAAACTCTTGCAGGTCGCGCGGGAAGGCCGCAGCGGAGCTGTTTTATGTAGAAGCGAAGCAATTCTTTTCTTTTAATCTAAAAAGCGAACTATTCAGTCAGACAGCAATTTACTGTAAAAGTAAAGCATTTACATTTTCAAGCACTTTATCTCAATTTCAAGCACCATTCCGAAAATGCAAGCACTTTCCCAACCTTGAAAACACCACGTCAAATTTCAAGCATTTTCAAGGATTTCAAGCACCCGTACGAACCCTGCATGTAACACACACACACACACACACACACACACCACACCACACACACCACAACACACACACACACACACACAACACACACACACACACACCACACACACACACACACACACACACACAACACACACAAACACACACACCACACACACACACACACACACACACACACACACACACACACACACACACACACACACACACACACCACACACACACACACACACACCACAAACACCACACCACACACACACACACACACACACACACACACACACCACACACACAACACACACACACACACACACACCACACACACACACACACACACACACACACACACACCCACACACACACACACACACACACACACACACACACACACACACACACACACACACACACACCACTGAAAACAGTGGGTGTTTAAATGTACTGGAAGATGGTATAATCTTTGTCGAGCACTCACCCAGCGGAGAGTCGTGGACGTTGTCGTACAGTTTGCTGTACCCTCGGACTTCATAGAAAAACAGAGCCACAGTGGGAAGGCTGATCACAGGAAGTGAGGTCATCGCGTATTTGATCTCTCTCCGAACCTGATTCTGAGGGGGATTGAAAATAAAATAATAATTTATTAACTCAATAAATAACAGAGGCAGAAGTCACACCTCTATCTATGTTATTATGGATTTATTGGCACTTGACAATGAAGACAAATCCAGAATAATGCAAGCCTTAACTTTTCTCTTCCAAATCAATGTGTACCTTGACCTTTTTAGCTAAAGACACTTTACTGCGTCACAACAACTCGTTATATTTCAATATGAACTGATCTCACTTAAGGTCTTAGTATTCTTCAAACAAAGTGCTTTTATGGCCTGCTGTTCAGCTTTTGCCAGGTGTGCAGATGAGTGCCAGTGGGCCGAGTTTCAACTTCCTTCTCTAGGTATCCATTTTATCTTCTCAAAACTATTTAATGCATTTCGGCCTTCTTAGATTTAGCTGAGACTTTTATCCAAAGCTACTTACAAGAAGTCAACCCAACAAATAGTCCAGAATAATGTAGGTAAATTAAATTAATCAAATACACTGATCTAGTTTAGCTGACCGGCTCTGTAGTGATTGGTGAACCGCTTAGAGATGTCCCGCCCCTTAGCCTATCACGTACAAGGTGTTGGAGCGCTAGCCAATAGCAGCGTGGTTGTTCCCCCAGTGATGTCACTATGTTCTGGAAGTAAACAAAGGAGTGCAATGGAGGTGTTTTATTGTACGTTTTACCTCGAGGAATTGTGGGTGTTTCATGAGATTGTGGTCGAAGATGAAGAAGTAGCTGATGGCTCCGAGGCCCAGGTAGAGGACGGCGGCCCCCAGGTTGGTGAGCACCAGCAGGGCTGAGGATCTGCCCTCAGAGCGCCCTCCCTCAGGCCAGGAGGCCGGGAACACGTAGGGGGTGAGGACGTAATGATCCGCAACATTCAGCACAAGATCCATGGTGAGATCTGTAACGAGAGAAAGAGAGCACACACTTTAAACATGTTGAGAACACTACATTTCCCAGAAAGCACTGCTGTTAGCTTGAATTTAATTTGTTATGAGAAGTGATACTGGGTTCAGTCCCATTCAATATTTTTACACCAATTATCAGATGTTTTTAAAGTTTTAAAGATAGCAGATCAACTGTATTTTATTACCAGTTGAAAGACATAATAGGCTCATTTTAATAATCAGAATAATCTTTGTTATAAAACAAACATTTATCTACATGTCAGTAAAAGACTAGGTTTTATTACAGCTTATAGCTTGTAAAATGTGTCTTTATATGTATTAAACTGGACAAACTCCATCTGCTGTTGACATGAATAAGATAAGTGGACCTGAAATGGAGACTTTCTCAAATGTCTTTTAAAGAATGTCTTGACATGTATTAAAAGAGAGACATTTTAGATTTCTACATAGATTTGAGATCTAAAAGTCATAGCCAAATTAAAAGGCCAACTGCTTTGCAAAACTTTCCACTCTGTCTTCTTCAGTGCAATTATACTTTTACATGTATTAACCATTTCAAACCCTCTTGTTAAGGATTTCTCTGGATATGGAATATATTTTATTAGCAAATCATGTGAAGTTAAATATAGCATTTTGTCTTGATCCAAACACTTTGACACCTTCCTTTAAAACTGTGAATGTTTCTCTAACACAAGCATTGATACAACTAATATAAAATGATGTGTGTACTGTATTTATTGTGTATGCTGGTTCTGATTTATTGTGCAGATGGACCTTGACTTCTGGATTTGGCCCTCTGAGCCCTGGAAAGTGACCATTTCCCAACACTTCACAATTGTATCACACAATGCAAGCAATTAATACAATATCTACAACACATTTTAAAGCCAAGAACAATGTAAAAATCACACAAATACACATTGATAATCTGCAGGAGCAGCTACAATACATCTGTGACTGAGATATCATATTTTATGTAACGTTATTCAATCCTGACTCACCGTTACGTAAAGGTAAATATATGTATTTTATAAGCATTAACGAACACCAAATGCAGCATCACGTGGTATTAAAAGGTTATTAACAAAGTGCTCTGTCTTTATTTTAATGTATATAAAGTTAAATTCGCACTGTACCTTGTGTTTGTTGCTCGTATTCCGGTACAACAGTGAAGAGGATGTGCACTAAGGTAAAAGCGAGCAAGTGACCAATCACAGCGGAGTTTACCGTTACGTCATAGAAGTGGCGTCCAATCAGCGCGCAGTCCCTCAACACGGCAGGCTTGTTATGCTTTCTGATTGGCCCACTGGTGGATCTGATCATGGTGCTATGGAAACAGCTGGAGCAGAGGCCGAAACGCCCCCAGATTGTTACAGAAACGCAGGTTAATGTTCCTTAATATGTGTTTTTATTATCTTTAAATACATTTATAGCATTCATTATATTGTGGGACCGGCTAATGATCTTAATGCTCGATTTTAAACCAAACTTCCTTTACAAACGTATGATTTTTCGGTTCTCTCAGGTTATTCTGGATCTAAATAACCTTCATTTAACAAACAAATGATGTCGATGTTAGTGTTCTGTGCACCTCTTTAATTCGGCCGATTCATTTTTTAGGTTATTTTTGACAACATTATTCTGGTATTTCCAGTCTCATTTTTTTATGTAACTTGTTTGCTTGTCGAAAGGTGATGCAATTTCCTTTCTTAACGTTATTATTCAGTCATTGCAATGCGGAATAATCCAGAACAGGTTTAGTAATCGAAAACACATCATTTTAATGTATTTAGATTGTTGATTCTTAACAAATTAGCAAGACTAAACGACTGTTGCATGATTTCTGAATGAAGTTTGGTCGTACTGTTTCAACACTACCTTTGCCTGTTAGAAAGGTGTCCTTTTTATAACGTTATTATTTAATCATTGCAATGCTGAATTGTCCAGAACATGTTTTCGTGATTGCAGAAGCGTGATATTAAGTTATTTAAGTAATGTTTTTTTTAGCAAATCAGCTTGGAAAAATGATGTTTTGTCAGATTTCTGCATGAAGTTTGGCACCTAAATGCTACACTATCGGCTTTCATTGCCAAGTAGGTTCCTTTAAACATACGAGGAATGTGTCTTGGTATTCATGGTGCATACATAAAGACAGCTAAAGAAGATTACAAAAAACACCCAAACTATTAAACGATATAGAAAATGTATTATAGAAGTTGGCTAATGTTATTTGCATCTACAGAATTTAACAGTTGGATTTTAATGTCAGATAAAAACAAATAGCTTCCACTCTGATATCAACCACAGGGTGTCGCCATCGCTCTAAACTCAGAGCTGGAGGATCTGATACTGTAACACAGCTCAACACACTGATTCATACATGATTATTATAGTCATACCACTGGAGGAGAGCTAATTGAACGCCTACATAATTCAGTATTAGAACCACCTACAGTATAATAGCCTCCTATATTAAGCTACAGGTGTCATATGGGGATTTCACAGCAGTGGAAAGTTCTGCTTTATTCTATAGAAGATGTATTTGATAATGACATATCGCCTCAGATCATAGATATGTTAGTAGCCAGAATGAAATATATGCTTTATCCAGTGGGTATACTGTCCATTTTGTTTCCGATAATCTACGACCAGAAGCTTTCAGAAAATGATTTGGCCCTTTTTTTATAGCTTTTGTTTTTGTTGTTGTTTGTTTCCCATCCCTCCTCTTTTGAATTCTTAGCTGTTAAAAAGCCTTTGCAGTTTTCGTTCTGATCCATTTTCATTACAACGCTTACATAAATACCACTTTTTCTACGCCCTGATAGAAAAAGAAAGAAAAATGCTTTCATTTTCCGTTCAAATTCAGAGGTGAGTGTTACAATCATTTATCAAGACTTCCAAAAAGTATCTTTGGAAAATACATATGTGTATTCTTCTAGATACAGAGATAATTCACATCGAGGGAACACAGGGATTTTAGACTTTGCAGACCATTTACATGCACTAAAATCTATATAACACACTACAGGAAAGAGAAAACACCAACAAGCAGAATAAGGCCTCTTTAATATCCTTTGTATGATTAAAAAACACTCTTTCAAGTCATTTTATTGTGAGAGTGGAGGCGTCTCTTCTTTAGTTTAAAGAAGACTCAAAGTGTCTCTCAGGCAGTGAAGGCATCTCCCTCTGAGTGCAGACTCACGTCGACCAATCAGGATCTCTGCAGAGAGACTCCGCCCCCTGCTGAGAGCAGATAACCCGCTGCTCATCATCTCCTCAGAAGGCAACAACACTCGATCTGTCACTTTGGGAAATGTAATCAAGAAACTGCAGAAACTTGTCACAACTGGAGACACAAATTCTGACGCCTTCAGATTCCTGATTATCTCGTCACCGGCGTTGATGGCACTAACTTGAACATAACCTCTCTGACATACGGTATATCTAGCCGACTAACAATGGCACGTATGTCTTTTAATGTCTGCACTATTAAACAAACCCTTATTATTGGGTTATGTTGCAGGTACTGTTTTACCGAGTTCAAAATACCCACTTTAATGTGTATCTCTGTCGCAGTTTCCTTGTTTCCAAATCGTATTAATCATATCAGTGTCATCAGACAGGGCAGACATGTCAGACGATTTGCAAATAAAATGACCAAAGCCCTTATAAACAGACATTGCCCTTTAGTTTTACCCACACAGATTAATCAACTTAACGTGTCCAGCGGCTCCCATCTGTAAATTGATGTTGTCTCGTGGGCACATTGTCAACAACACATTTCATATTGGCGTATCAAAGTGTTCCTCACCTCCTCTTTGGGTTTGTTTGGTGCCACAGCTGCTGTTTGTTCAGTCGGTTCGGGGCCGGGCTGCATCTGCTCATAAATAACAGTCTCATAACATTTCATGGAAAGAGAATTAACTTTGAAATTAGATTATGTTGTATACTGCAAACATAATTTACCTCCACCCTGAATGGATTTATGTGACAAAAAGCACAACTTTACTGCTGTCACACGAGATGCTCAGGTAATGTTTTGTAATCGTATAGAAAGCAGAATTATGACATTTTGAGGGGGAAAACCCAGTAATGCCAAACACAGCAAGCATTAACAAACACTCTTAGGTTAAAATCAGAATGATGAGAAAAAAAAGTGACAATTCTGAGAAAAAGTGAAAATTCTTTTGAAAAATGATCAGAAAAAAGTGAAAGTTCTGAAAGCATTAAAAAACAAGGTAAAAAAAAGGTCTAAAAAAGTCAACATTTAGAAAAAAAAAATCTGATAAAAAAGTTCGATTTCTGAACAAATAGAAATTCTGATAAAATAAAGAAATCTGAAAAAAATCATAATTCTGAGGAAAAAATAGAACTTCTTAAAAAAAAATCCTTATAAAAGGGAAAATGTTGAGAAAAGTAAAAATTCTGAAAATTCTAAGAAGTAAAAAATCTGAAAAAAAATGGATGTAAGAAACGTATTATAAGGAACCCTAACCCTAAGGAACGCACGGTCACATGACTTCACGTCACCACCGCTAAGCTAAAGGAGGCTAATGTTAGGCTATAAAGGAACTACAGCACGGTCACATGACTTCACGTCACCACCGCTAAGCTAAAGGTGGCTAATGTTAGGCTATAAAGGAACTACAGCTCAGTCACATGACTTCACGTCACCACCGCTAAGCTAAAGGCGGCTAATGTTAGGCTATAAAGGAACTACAGCTCGGTCACATGACGTCACGTCACCACCGCTAAGCTAAAGGCGGCTAATGTTAGGCTATAAAGGAACTACAGCTCGGTCACATGACTTCACGTCACCACCGCTAAGCTAAAGGCGGCTAATGTTAGGCTATAAAGGAACTACAGCACGGTCACATGACTTCACGTCACCACCGCTAAGCTAAAGGCGGCTAATGTTAGGCTATAAAGGAACTACAGCTCGGTCACATGACTTCACGTCACCACCGCAAAGCTAAAGGAGGCTAATGTTAGGCTATAAAGGAACTACAGCTCGGTCACATGACTTCACGTCACCACCGCTAAGCTAAATTGTTTCTCAGGAGGCTAATGTTGGGCTGTAAAGGCACGGTGACTTCACGTCACCACAGCTAAGCTAAAGGAGGCTAATGTTGGGGCGGTTTTGGTGCAGTGGTTAGAGCGTTGGTCATCAGATCAAGGGGCGTTAGTGAACTCCAGTTCGAATCCCGCCTCGGCCGCCACTGCGTCAGTGAGCTATAAAGGAACTACAGCACGGTCACATGACTTCACGTCACCACCGCTAAGCTAAAGGCGGCTAATGTTAGGCTATAAAGGAACTACAGCACGGTCACATGACTTCACGTCACCACCGCTAAGCTAAAGGAGGCTAATGTTGGGCTATAAAGGAACGACAGCACGGTCACATGACTTCACGTCATCACCGCTAAGCTAAAGGAGGCTAATGTTGGGCTATAAAGGAACGACAGCACGGTCACATGACTTCACGCCACCACCGCTAAGCTAAAGGTGGCTAATGTTGGGCTATAAAGGAACTACAGCACGGTCACATGACTTCACGTCACCACCGCTAAGCTAAAGGTGGCTAATGTTGGGCTATAAAGGAACTACAGCACGGTCACATTACATATTTACTGGCGTACTGTATGTTGTAGAACAAACGTTAAAATCTGATCTGTAGGCCTGTAGAAGATTAACCTCTTTAAGGCATCATTAGCCCTCATGTCAATATGCGATTTATCTCCTCAACAAATCAAAACATTGTGATTCGAGCAACTTAAATATCATTCAAATGTAAATTGCCTTTTGCACACAACGTACTCCACCCTCATCACACAGGTGGCACCTCCATCTCTTTGAAGATCCTTCACATCCTGAGAGAGCAGCAGTGTGATGTAAGTCTTGTGCAAAGAGGGGTAAAATCATTTATTTTTTTCTTTGCTGCTTCGTACATCCGGGCCAAAACATATTGGCTCTCTTATTTCACTCTGTTGTGTAAGAGCGAGGTAATAAAAACCTTTCCCCTTCCCTTTGTCAGGCAAGGTGCTTCAGACTGCTGCAGTCTTTTGTATTGCTTTTTAGATGTGTTGCCAACAAAATGCCAATTGAAATTAAAAGTACCTGAGAGAACGACACACAGGGATTTATGCATGCACAATCTCGATTTCCTTAATTGATCAAATCTAAGCGTATTTTTCCCCCTAGTACAAAAGATCAAAGTACTTAAGAGTAATTGTTTTTTTTTTCTTGCATGTTATT